TCTGGGTTAGCCTCACTCCATATTGGTTTTGCAATTTTGACATCAAACTGATTTATCTTGGTGCTTCAGAACAGCTAGCATGCACTCTGATTGATCTTGGCTTTAGAATTTGGCAAGGAAAAGTGATCAGACAAAGGATAAAATAAGATGGCATGGATATGGAACTGACAATTTTGCCATTAGTCAAACAAGCATCATTTTGTTCATTGTGCAGAAGATGACAACTATGTAATAGCAACTTGGAATGCACCAGCTGGTGCATAGCTTTGCCCCCTTGTTGGTGAACCACATTTCCTTGGGCAATGTAGTAGTGTGGGGTACCTGGACTGCACCTTTTAACATTATCTTGAGCACTAGATAGATACCCTGTACTTGAGGAAAGGATCACTACACGTTATTCTGGCCCTGTATCTGCCTAGTCCTGAGAACTCCCAAGTTATTGCTTTTAGTTAGGTGCAGCGCTTGGTTTCCATTGCTATTAGTCATTAAACTACCCTCATTATCTAAGAAAACCAGGATTGTTCATTCTAATCCAATGTGTTCAAAACATTTGGTAGAAAGTTGTTAATAAGGATTAAGAACAAATCAATACTCGGGCTTTTTTTCCCTTAAGCTTGAGGACATGCTATACATTGTATATCTTAAATTCATCTACTGCTGCTTATCTACCACATATCACCACTGCTTAGAAACAACTTGCTATGGAAGTTATGAGGTTACAGAAAAGGGAATGCAAATATCCCTAGCAAGAAAATGAGGCAAGAAACACAGAACACATGGGGCCAAATGGGGCCACCTCTCATCAAAGCTCAAAAATCTGGCTTTGGGTGGACTGTTTTGCCCCTTAGCCTGCTGGGTTGGCATGGAATAGCTGCACCGGTGCTCTAGTGGTAGAGACAAATGGGGTTCCTATACACCTCATACATTGGTTGTCACTTTCTGCAGCACAGACCTTTCTAGTGGCTGCATCTGCAGCCCTCCATTCTGTTGCAAAGAAAGGCACGACAGAGTCCAGGGGGCATAGAGAGTTCCCAGCAAACACCCAGCTCTCAGCACAGTACAGCTATTTTGCTTGTATTCTGGTTTGGTATAGAAACAGAGGATAGGGCAGCACGTGTGACTTAATGGAGTGGTTGATTAGTTTCTAAAATGTTTGGGAGGTTTTCTACTCTAGGAGGTGCCAGCTTTCATTCTTTTCCACAGCAAAACTGAGGAAAATTGAAGGACATGTCATCTGATCTTATGAGGTCTTGCCCAAGAAAAGCAAGTATGTCTTAGACCACTTCACCTTTTTACATTGTAAAGACAGTCTCCCTTTGTATAGCTTATAGCCGGTCTAGAGTATCTTATATCCTGAGATGCAGGACTGAAGGAGATAGGCCTGGGAAATACTTCAGTAACTGCAACACATTTTCAGCGTGTATATTTTCCTCACAGAATGTGCTTGAACTGTTTTAAACGTTTTGCTCAATTTTACAGAAGGTGGTTACATCTTTACAAAAGGAAATATGATCGTATGTATAATGTACAGGTACAATGTAGCATGTGCAATATAAAGTAAAGCTTCCTGGCCAATGCAATGTTATAACAAATATATACATGTGGGACTCAGTTATGGCTCAAAGAGTGGGAGGGGGAGCTGCACTGCCTGAGTGGTGGAGGTATAGAATGTCACACCAGGAAAATGTTACATTTCTTCTGGGAGGATTAGACCCTCAATAGCTGAACGCATCTTTAGGAAACTTGCGGTTACATTCGGCGCCAGCCCTGGCCTTGCGGCCACAGTCGACACCAGTCCAATGAGAGTCCATGAAAATGTTACATTTCTTCTGGGAGGCTTAGATTCTCAATAGCTGAACACATCTTTAGGAAACTTGCGGCCAGAGGCAGCGCTGGCCCTGGCCTTGCGGCCAAGCAAGTCAGTATGTACAGCTTTCCTCTAGGTGTCTTCTTAGGGAAAGGACCCAGAATATCCACAACTACATGCTGAAACGGAACCTCAATTATGGGGAGTGGCTGGAGAGGGGCTTTGACCTGGTCTATTGCACCTGGGAGCCATAGAAACACTTCCTCAAAGTCTAATTTCTTCATTACCCCTATAGTGCAGAGGAGAACCTCCTGACAACCATTCCATCACATTGTGTTTAAGCTGTGCTACGTGGAAGAATCTTTTAATCTACTTAAGAGCCATTTGATGTTATCCATCATCTATGAATTTAGGTCTTCCTGTGGGAAAGCCAACCACAGGTAGATAAAAAGGGAGGAAAACACCACTAATACATCCCCACTTAAGCTCACCTTTATCATCCCACTAGCAGACAGGAGGAAATAGTTGACCCGATGACTTCTGCACAGAACACAAAATCTTTCCACACAAAGCACCTGAGTGTCTGCATCACTTCTAGGGCTTTGTCAGACCTGCCTTCCGGTCCTTATCAGCATGGTTCCATTAGAGCAGGGGGTCTCAAAAGGGGGTCAGGACCCCTCAGGGGTTTGTGAGGTTACTACATGGGGGGTTGCGAGCTGTCAGCCTCCACCAAACCCCACTTTGCCTCCAGCATTTACAATGGTGTTAAATAGATACAAAAGTGTTTTTAATGTATAAGGGGGTCCCACTCATAGGCTTGCTATGTGAAAGGGGTCACCAGTACAAAAGTCTGAGAACCCCTGCATTACAGCCACCCTGACAGGACTACTCCAGGCTGGAACAATGGGTGCTGGGGGTGCAAAGCTTCAAGTAATAAGAGCGACCAAAAGAATGGTCTCATTCATATACTGGGTTTGCAGTTTTGTTCATTTGCTTTCAGTACCCCGCAACTTCTTCCCCTGGGATTTCACCCTGGTGTGGAATACAGATGCCCCACACCCCTGGAAAGTCATGGGAGAATGGGGAGCGTAGCCCATGACAATCTGAGGGCTCTGGTAAGACTGCTTTCTCTGCTTTACAATTGTCTTTCAAAAATTTGAAGCTAAAAATCTCAAATTTCTTATAAAAGTGTAGGAAGACTTGGGAGACTCTAACCAAATTAATCATTCCACTGGGAGGCAGGAGGAAATAGTGGCAGGTTTGTCCCCAGCTTTCATCGTAGAAACGGATGAGGCTCTGGCTTCCACAGAGAACACAAGGTCTTCCCACACAGACTTCATGAGTGTCTTCATCAGTTCTAGGGCCATGTGAGACCCCCACTTCGGGTCCCCAACAGCGTGGTTCCATTACAGCCACCCTACCAGGACGGCCACAGGCTGAAACTATGGGAGCTGGGGTTGTGCAGAGCAACCGACTGCATTGTTTCAATCATATATAGGGTTTGAAGTTTTGTTCATTGGATTTCAGAGCCCTCCGCTATAAGAATTGTTCCAGCCCCTCTGGATAACTATTAACATACAGATTTACTGAAAGAGGTGATCTAGATTTCCTCCCATTACCCAGTATTTACTCTTTTAACCTAGCCTCTTCTTCTAGTATTAATATTACTTATTTCCCTCCCTCCTCAATATCTTTTCCTGGGACTTCACCCCGAAGTGGAAGATTCATCCCAACACCCATGGAAAGTAATGGGAGAAAGTCTGCTTTCTCTGATTTTCAGTCTCTTCCATAAATTTGAAGCAAAAAATCTCAAAATTTCTTATAAAAAGTGTTTCCCAACTCTTCTTCCACTAACCAAATTAACATGCACAGAAATGTTTTCATGGTTTCTTCATGTGATTTTTCCTTTTTAATTTCAGCAAAAATAGTTTTCCTGTTGAATTAAAAACGCATTTCCCTGCCATGATGGAATTTCCATCACAACACTCTCTGATAGGGCTTGAAATCCAGAAAATGAAATGTGACCACAGGAAGTGAAGAGAATTAAACAAACCAGAGGAGTATTCCTACCCAAGCCGAGGGGAAAGCAAAAAGAGACAGGGGACCAGCAAAAATGATGAACACTGAATTTGATTTTTAGAAGATTCTTTGAATTATTCCATCCCAGACACACACTTGTTAAAAATACATAGTATGACTTCTATTCATAATCTCCTTCTGACCACACTGTGAATCACAATCATCCATGTGGGTACCTCTCTAGCATGTTACTGATGCTCATCCTGTTTTATGAATTACTCTCAATTTTTCACTATTTTTCCAGCTACTTGGAGTGATCAACTGGACATGATATCCACACCTTTCAATTGCATCTATTCCTCAGCCACAGGATGTATATTAAGATCTGGAAATAAACAATAAGATAAGGTTTCATTTTCTCAGAGCACTCTATTTCCTATGGTTTACTAGAAGGAAGATACTGATGCTTTCTGCTGTCTACATTTTAAATGTGCTTTCTAAATTGGAGGAAATGGGTAAAGTTGAGATTTACCAACATGTTTGGGAGGCCTAACTCTTTACTCCCACATTTACTTTTCCCATGCCTAGCAAACTTTAAGTATTCCTAAACAATTTCTGTCTCTCAAATGAAGGAGAACAGGAGTACTTGTGGCACCTTAGAGACTAACAAATTTATTAGAGCATAAGCTTTCGTGGGCTACAACCCACTTCATGAATCAGAAGTGCACTGTCTCACGAATTGAGGTTCTTCTCCATACCACTTTGGAACTGTAGATGATCTTATTAAATTATGTGTTTAAATTAATTCACCATAAAAAGCTTGAGGTAACATGGTTGTGTATTATCATGGGTAGTCAATTTCACACACAAAAAAAGGAAATGTGGTAAAAGAACTAGAAAAGAGAAAGAAAAAAACAGAATGAAAAACTCTGAAATCTTCAAGAAGGAAAATCTTGTAAACAGAAAATGCTAGAAACATTCTCCAACCAAACACTTAAATTCAGAGACATAAAGGAAAGACACAGCAGTCTATGTAGGCCCCTCAACAAACTCCAGGCTCAAAGTTCCACACAAAGAAAAGGACTGTATAGACATCATCAGGACCACCAGGTGTTTGCTGCATGCTTGCCTCGTACTGCTCTTCTCCACTGAAATCTCATCTCGGCTCTGTACCATGCTTCACTTCCAGCAGAACAAAATGAACAAAGAGAGCTTGGAGCTTCTGAAGAAAAGGAACAGAAATTTCCCCTCACAATGCATAAATGAAAGGGCAGCTTTCAAGCCCACCCAGGATGTTGTCTAACTTCCAGTGTCACAAAAGGAGAATGCCAAGGTGGCAATCCAAGAGATCCTCCAAGATATCTTCAACATCTTTTCAAAAACCTCACCCAAAGTGCCTGGGATGGGACTTCCAGAGTCAGGTTCCAAAGTGGACTTTACCAGCAAATTCAGGGGCTGGAGGCATGTTTGAGAGCACAGATGAAGAAGGACTTAACCAACCCAGAAAGTAAGGACCTCCAGCTCACCAGTCAAAGAGTGAAACAATACTTTCATGGGATAGATGCTTTCCTGAAAGAAAAGCAATACAGCCTGTGTGCCTGGGAGATCATTCGCATGGAAATACCCAGCTGTTTTGTACTGGTTGACAAACTCACAAGAAGACTTAGTAACTAAGGTACAGTAGAAAACTTTTCCCTGCAATAAATGAATTAACATTAGTGTCAATTAAACAGCTGAACAGTGATAACGGATATCTTAGAACTCTGTATAAGGCTGGATCCTTCTTCTACAGGGTCAATGGCCAAATAGCAACTGATTTTCATGGCAGCAGCTTCAGGCTCTTCCTGTCCTCTGCTGGAAATGGATTTTCAGTGACGTGGATTTATTTTTCTGTGTTTCTACTATTATTTATTTTTGCACATCTTCACCATCTCCTACCTATCAGGTGCTGTTATGCATTAGATAATTGGCAGACCATGCAACGAAAGTACACATATCTGGAATCCTTGGTCACCTCACCAGCTCTTTGGTCATCAAAGAATTATACTTCCTCCCCCACCCCGCACCTACCTCCAAAGTACTCCGACTTCTATGTATGTAGTGTTCTATTATGACCATGGTTGCTATTTATTAATCTGTCTTCATGAGAGCTCTTTCTTGTGTTCTAAGGCTTGAGATGTTTCCTAGAGACATTTATAAAAAATATGAACATACCATAAGACTTGAGATTATTAGGGGTAGAAAAGATATTTTCATTTAATTTATTAACATTAATACAATGGAAAATTTATTTTTTAACCTTTGTGAGTCAACCAATTCCTATTTCATTCCAGCTCAAGATACTGCCACTACTGAGGTTAAAACAGCTGAAGGATACATTCCACCATGCAGTGGAATCCCTCCAATCTGCTGAGTCCTCCCAGAGTGACTTCTAGCACTCCAGAACACTTGACCTTGAGTCATGCAATTGACTCTCTATTACACAATTTCAACTGCACAAATTACATTTTATGGGATTATATTCTGTTCATTTACTTGGTGTTTAAAATGCAAAATGAAGAACATTGATGCAAAAAAAAAAAATCACCAGACAATTGTAATTTTAAAAGAAAGGGCTGGGATGTTAAACATTGTTGACATTATGTGTTTGCTATATATTTCTGTGGTTCAACACTTCTCTGATCAAATTTAATCTTGGAACCCTAACATGCAGCATAGCCACAGTATAACAGCATAACACATGTGAACTGGAACAGCTTCCAAACAAAGAGGCGTGGATAATTTTCCTGTAATGTCAGAACAAAGAGAGATTTCAGGTGGCCTCAATACGTTCTCAAGCCATGAATGTCCCTGAAGGAAAATGCCCAGATGAGAATCCAGGAAATCTTCCAATTTATTTCCTGCTGCTTTTGCAAAAATCTCTCCCAAGCTAGCTGAGGCAGGAGTTCCATTCAGAGAGTCCAGTGGGACATCTGGAGACATGTCTGGTTGCAGTGATGTGAAACGGGACTCTCTGACCACAAAATGGCAGCCTATAGTGGTAGTGATTTGTATTAAATACCTATTTAACCAAAACAAGAAAGAGAATAAAAAAACCCTGTAATTGTTCAGCCTTAAAGCCCCAACTCCAGAGAGTACTCATGCACGTGACTAACAAAGTATGTGACCCATCCCAGTGATAGTGTTCAGAGCGGTAGCCGTGCTAGACTCCAACGTGAAACTGCAGAACTGGAATTAATTTGCAAACTGGACACCATCATATTAGGCCTAAATAAAGACTGGGAGTGGTTGGGTCATTACAAAACCTAAACTTAATTTCCCCAATACTAATTTCCCCCTACTGTTACTCTTGCCTTCTTGTCAACTGTCTGAAATGGGCCACTCTCATTACCACTTCAAAAGTTATTTTTCCTCCCCTGGTATCCTGCTGTCAATTGAATTTTCTTGTTAGACTGACCTCACACTTGGTAAGGCAAATCACATCTTTTCCTGTATTAATACCTGCTCCTGTATTTTCCACTCCATGCATCCGATGAAGTGGGTTCTAGCCCACAAAAGCTTATGCCCAAATAAATTTGTGTTAGTCTCTAAGGTGCCACAGGGACTCCTCGTTGTTTTTGCATGCCAGTGATGTTAGTGCTTCAATTTGGGAACATACTTAAATATATTTATGAATCAGTGTTCCATATTAAAATAAATAGTTACTGAATGATAATTAGTCTTTCCATTCTACCAGACCACACACCACACCTGAACTCTGACTCCTTTTCCTCTTCTACCAGGTTACTTGTCCCCCCCAAAACTTGTCAATTTGGATGTTTGGTGTAATAGACAGTTGTATTGGAAGACGCTAGATTGGTGCCCTGCTCCCCACTAATCAAGATTGCATGCACCCCTTAACACACACCAATTAAGAGCATTTGTGCTCCCAGATCAAATTCATTCTTGGGCATACACCACAAACAAAAATTACATGTGAATAATGAGAGCAGAAAGAGGCCATTCTGTATTAGGATTATCAAAGTTTCACTATGCCACCTTTAAATTGCAGCTTTCAGTTTGAGGGAATACATCAGTCAGTTACTGCCTACAAAAAATACTGAATTCTTCTGAAAAAGTCTAACAACCCCAAACCTATTCAGTGGGGAAAGAAGGGGAGGAAGAGAGAACTATTTCAATTCATTCTATCAGATCTTTAATAATAAAAAAGGGGGGGGCAATGCTGAGCAGAGAATTCATTTGAGCTCTTTTACAATATCACCCGTATCATAAAGAATCCCAGCTCACATTTCTTAAAAGAGGGGAAAAAATTGTGAGTATCTCCCTCTGAGATTCCCTCACATCCTTCCACTCATGGGCAGGAGGAAGGAGGGGAGGGTTCATCCGTCGACTTCCTCATGGAAGTGGCTGTCATTCCATCTCCAGACTCAGCAGATTCTATGGTTTCTGCATTGATCAAAAAGTCTCTCCAGACACAGAGATCTGCAGCATCTGTCTCAGTTCTGGTCCCATTAGATTCCCTGCCCCCATCCTTTCAGTGCCAAGTAGTATTTTCAGAACTACTATCTACTTACACAAAACTTGGTAGAGAGGTGGATCCTCGCTAGATCTGATGCCACCAGCAGGTTCATTACTATAATTTTAAATGTTGGATTTAGGTAATTTTTAGGCATTGTTCATATTAATTCTGAAACTTTAATACATTCTGTACACCAAACTGGTTGTTGGTGGCAAGGAGCACACAAGCCTGATTTGGAGGGTGTGGAGGGGTGGCACCAGTTGGTCAGAAAACTGAGGGATAGAATTGCTGACTTGAGTGTACACAAGCCTGATTCATATGGCTTGTTTTGTTTGTGTGCATGTCAAGCGGGGGAGGAGGGGGTCTGTCTGTAAGACTTGTGAATTCTAGTTGATATTATGAAGTTGTTGTCATGACATTTCCTAATCATAGGAAATTTCTTTCTATGTGTATCCATCCTGTTGGACAGGACTACAGCAGGAACTCACTAGGCTGAGGACAATGGGAAACGCTTAACTTTAAAACTATGTTCTAATGACAACATACTTATGCTAAGTAGGGAAGCAGTTTGGCCAAGTTGGTGTTCAGGAGAATGGGGGTTAGGAGTGGAAAGTTACTGAAGGTCAACAAAGAGGCAGCTGACTAAAACAAAAGGTTCTAAAAGAAATCACTGGGGGAAGACCCACAGGACATTTGGGCAAGAGGAAGGAAGGGGATGTTCTGGCTAAGGTCAGGTTATCGGAGCTGGGGGAGAAGGCTGTGTTTTTGTGCATATAAGTGATGCATTGCAACAGAAGGATGTTGGATCACCCCAAGTGACCCTGATCCAGGCCCATAGAACGGCCTGGTGTGTTGAGGAAACTGAGGCAGAGAATTGCGTATAGGGTTTACAATTTTTGTTCCCATCTGTGTATTTTCTGTGTGATTACGTAAATGGCAATAGTGTGTTAGAATCCTGTGCAAAGTGTCTGGGTGTTATAATCTACACTTACTACGTGGCCCCTGGAAGAGGTAAACACATGTACATACATACAAATAGGATGACCACACTCAGTAGATTCTAAGCTTTGTAATGATACCTTACAAGAGACCTTTTACATGAAGCATATTCCAGTTATACTAATGAGTGAGAATATAATGTATTTTCATAAAAGTCATATAGAGTGCAATGTCACAGTACCTTTCTATTTCCTCAGAAACACCCTCTAAGACCCGCTCCATTTGGATTAGGAGAGACAGATCTTCCAGAGATTTAACATTTTTGACACGAGAAGTCATTCTTCCGCTCTACTCTGCGCTGGTTAGGCCTCAACTGGAGTAGTGTGTCCAGTTCTGGGCACTGCATTTCAAGAAAGATGTGGAGAAATTGGAGAGGGTCCAGAGAAGAGCAAGAAGAATGATTAAAGGTCTTGAGAACATGACCTATGAAGGAAGGCTGAAAGAATTGGGTTTGTTTAATTTGGAAAAGAGAAGACTGAGAGGGGACATGATAGCAGTTTTCAGGTATCTAAAAGGGTGTCATAAGGCGGAGGAAGATAGGGCAAGCAGCAATGGGCTTAAACTGCAACAAGGGAGGTTTAGGTTGGACATTAGGAAAAAGTTCCTAACTGTCAGGGTGGTTAAACACTGGAATAAATTGCCTAGGGAGGTTGTGGAATCTCCATCTCTGGAGATATTTAAGAGTAGGTTAGATAAATGTCTATCAGGGATGGTCTAGACAGTATTTGGTCCTGCCATGAGCGCAGGGGACTGGACTCAATGACCTCTCGAGGTCCCTTCCAGTCCTAGAATCTATGAATTTGCTCCTGATATCCAGGTATCACAATTTTTTACAATGTGGTAGGCGTGTTGGGAAAATGCCACATCTGGTTTCCACCTTAGGGCTCTGAACCACCGACGGGCACGCTCGGGTGGTAGCCCCATCCTACTTCTGGCCTTTTGTTTAAAAAGTTGGTACTCGTTCATGTGTTCTTTAGGCATTTCAGCTGCCATGTCTGCTAGGGGTCCACTGAGTTGTGGCCTCGGCTCCACCATATACTGGTCTGTAGGGATGTTGTACCCAAGGCAGGCCCTTTCAAAATGTTCTAATAAGGCCCCTGTATCATCGCCTACCTTGTAGGTGGGGAATTTCTTGGAATAGGGAACGGTACCTGGA